GGGGGGAGTGGGATGTAGAAGATGAGGACATGGCCCAAGGACTGCTGCTTTTAGTGCCACCAGAAAATTTTACTATTCAGATGCTTCTCTCTCCCTCTTTCTCTCCTGTAGGTCCAATCGCTTGACTGTCATCCACCTATGAGAACACCTTGGAGCCTTACAGCTCTTGAAATGCAGAAGCTTTATAGATACATAGTGTGGCCCACACACAATTATACAATGTATCTTTTGTACCTTATACAAAAGCGTTCACAATTGTACACTTTTGTATACCCATTATAGAACCTGTTTATATGTTGGTGATCTGGTCTGCCGAAGATGGGAATGGGGAGCCAAACAGAAACAGAGAGAGAAAAAGAGGGATAAGGAGCAGGAAAGAGAGGGATAGAGAGACTGAGATGGAGAAAGACACATATGGAAGAGTAGCAGGATAGAGGGATGTAGAAGGAGAGGAGCAAGGAACTGGGCCAAGCCTGGGGGCTACTCTGGAGCCCCCAATTCCAGGAACTCCACACTATGTCCTGGGGATCACCATCCTCTTACCCACTATGCCAGGGAATTGGCACCCTGCCCTGGTTGCCACCCTGCTCCAGTGGAAGGTGCTTCCCTGCAGGGGCCAAGTGCCCAGGCAGCAAGAGAGCAGAAGGGAGGAGAGGCAAGAGGAAGGCTCAAGGCAGGCACAGCAGCAGTGCCCAGGAGATGAGGCTGGGCCTGGCCTTGAGGGACTATGGTGGCCAACACATGTGACAAGTCCCCGCCTTGGAGCCCTGAGTAGCAGCATAGAGCTGGAAACAGAAGATGTTTCATCCAGAGCTTTAGCTCTGCCAGCTCAGGGAGGCCAAGTCCTGCAGAGATCTCAGGCTTCATCAGGTCAGCCCCTCGCTGACCAAGGTCAGAGTCTGTCCCAGCCACCATGCCAGGCAGGCATAGCTCTGCACTGGTAATACCCACAGACGGACACAGGGTGGTGATGTGAGCCATGGAGCACCACAGTGCCTGCTGCAGGCAGGCAGAAAGCAGGCAGTGTCCTGGGGAACAGCACCGGGAAAACCCACCCCAGGGAGTTACCATCTGCAAAGTTCACAGCTGGTCAGCAGCTCTCCAGCAGCCTGGACCCACCAGCCCAGCTGGAACAAGGTATCCAGCCCATCCCACCCATCCCCGGAGCCCAGATGCTGACCCTAGGGTGCAGGGAACCCAAGGGGACAGTCAGAAGGTGATCAGAAGGTGACACTGCATCTTCTCACCAGCATATCCCTCTCCTGTGGTCTAAAAGAGAGTGGGGAAACATACTGGGTTCTGGATCACCAGTGATGACTCCATTATGGGGTTCTCTGTATGGGACCTCAATGTGCTTCTGCATCCACTCTGCACAGTGCACAGCCCTGACCTCAGCCAGGTGCTGCATGGAGCCCTCTTGCTGCTGAGCCCCTGCCAGTTGAGGCAGGGCTGGTATGGGCTCTGTCTGTGAGAGCTGGTCAGCTACACTTCCACTACCTCTGGTGGCACAGGCACTCAGCCTACTGCTCCGTCTGCTGACTGAGTACAGTCCTCCATCCTACCTGTCTGGGGCCAGGGGGCTCCTGCCATACCTCATGCTACACAGGCCCTGCACCCCCTTCCCCAGTGACACCATTACTCTGACCACTGTGTTGTGCTGCGTGCTGCTTCAGCGTCCAAAGTGGCAGAGAGGGAAGGAGAATAACCATGAGGATGCCCCTCAGGAGAGGGGCTGGGGGCATCCCTGCCATGACTCTGTGGCTGCTGGGGGTCAGAAATACGTGTTTGCATGTGTCGCCGAGGAGCTGGTGCCTCCCTGGGTTCCCTTAGAGATACCCAGCCTGTTCACAGTGGCCTTAGCCCCCCTGGCTGCTGTGGGACTCCAGCTGCCCCTCAGGTCCCCAGGAACCTCTGGAGCATTCCCGAGTGCCAGGGACAGGGAAGCGGTGGCTGGTACTGAGGGATGTGCGTGCGGATGTGCAGGTGTGTCGGGAGGAGTGTGTGCGCGCCAGGCTGTGCTCGGTGTCGGTGCTGCAGAGGTTGTGCGTGCCGGTGGATGCTCTGAGTGTGAGCTCGGGGGCACTGGCGTGTTCTGGGCGCGATCTGAGTGCGGGAGGCGGGTGTTGCGGGGTGCAGGTGTTGGAGCGCGTGTGCGTGTGAGTGTGAAAGCGAGTGCGGAAGCGGGGGCGCGGGGCCAGGGCGGAGCCGCCGCTGGCCCCAGGCTCTGCCCGAGCGGCACTGGCACCGGGCACCGGCAGCGGCACTGGCAACAGGGGCTGAGGTGGGACCGGCAGCAGCAGGGAGAGCTGCCCTCGGCCCAGGTGGGGTCCCGCCGGCGCGGGGGGAGCGGGGTCTGTCCGGGAGCGGAGCGGGGCGCTGGGGACCCCGCACAAGGCTGAGCTGGGGACCCCGCACAAGGTTATCTCTAGCGGGGCGGGACGGGACGGGACGGGCGGCGCGGGGAGCGGCTCCGGGGCCAGGGCAGCCCCCCGGGGCACAAACATCCGTGCCCGCCGCGGGACAAAACAGTGCTCGGGCCGCCCGCCACTGCCCGGGTTGGGCACAGCGTGGGAGGTGGTCTGCCTGGAAGGTGCTGGCGGGCAGTTTGGGCTCCCGGAGCAGCTCGGAGGCTCTGCCCTGTGGCCCTGAAGAGTGAATGAGGCAGCTGTGCTGCACGAAGGGGGAGTGGAGGCACCCTCAGCCAGGACAGCAGCAGAGCCAGCCCGGGGAGTTCCCACTGCAGCAGAGTGCAGGCTGCCTGCTCCCCGTCCTTTTCGTTGCTCCTATCTGTCCGTATCAACAGTCTCTGCTGTCCCTCCCGACACTGCTATCTGTCCCCTTACACTGCCTCCTCCTGCCTTTCTTGACCTTCCCTGGCCGCAGGAGTTGGCTGTGCTGGCTCACAGCTTCCCTGGCATGACATGCTGCCTGCCTTCATCTGTGTTGGACTTTTTGTTAACCCCACCAGCTGGTATTGGGAACCATTCTCCCAAACAATTCCCTACCAAATCCTCATTAGAAAAATCAGGTCTCTTGAGTCCCAACTTTGCCACTGATTGGGTTCTCATCCCTGGGAATATTACTTTCTCCATCATATCGCCTTTGCCCCCGCTAGCCCTGAGCAGCAGATGTGGGAGAGCAACCTGGCTGCCCATGCTCTGCATCATCCTTCCTCTCAGAGCGGTTGTCCCTCTCGCTGCTCCTCAAGGCTATTCATTACCAAGTGAAACTCTGGAGCATTGACATATGAGAAGGTTGCAAAATGCTTCTTAGGGACAACAGAGTGGCAGTTTCCCAAGAAGATCCTAAATAGGGACCTGGTGACATCCCACTCTGCCAGAAATGCTCTGTATGACTCTCTTAGCATCTCAGTGCCCCAGCACCAGTGTCACAGTTCATGTATGTCATTTCAGAGACCTTGCTCTCGCTCCGTGTCTGTTCTATCACTGTCCTGTCTGCAGGCAGGACTGTGCACAGGGGGATGAATCAGAGCTAACCCAGCAGAGATTTGTTTCTCTGATGCATCAATGAGTTCCCTCTCAAGTCCTATCCGTAAAAGGGGACTGAAGCACTATTTTGCCTTCACGACCCTTACCCATGAGCCACGAGCAACCAGGGAGAACCTCAATGCTGTGGCAATGGTACAACTACCATCCTACCACCACATCCCAGCTGGCACTTTGCTCCTGGCCACTGATTGTCCCCCAAAAGAATTCACAAATCTTCCTGAACTCCCATTCCTACAGGCTCAAGAAATAAGCTTAGAGCGGAGGGGTGAATGACAACAGAAATGGCTCCCTGACAGACATAAACAGTTTCTCCAAGTAAAGGATGAACTGCTCACTTAAACATCAAGGGGTATCAAATTTGGACTGCAACCAGGCTATGTGATGTGCTATTACTTCAAAGTGATGGCACTGCAGGTTGCGCCAGGGAGGGGTGTCTTCCTTGCAGTTGTTGCCTTCCTTAATTTGCAAGTGAGGGTGCTGGTATTTCCCTGTCATTTTGTTCTCTTTAGAGCAGTCTTTGAGAAGGGCTGACTAGCAGTTCATCTACCTTGCAAGAGACAGAGCAAAGAAAGAGGGTGAGCTTGGGAATGAGAAGGATGGAGGGGAATGCAGAGTGAAGCAGCCAGAGACTCTACCAGGCAACACAGACACTGTCTGGGTAGATAATAAGACAATGCTTGTTTCTAGCTGTCAGCTCTTCTTCAGCTTTGCTAATACCTTTCACAGCCTCATGGAAAAAGGATCTCAGTGCCACAGCCTTGCATGGCACATCATCCCAAGCACAGCCTAAGCCAGTGCAATCAACTAGATGTAAGAATGAAACACCAGTGGCACTCTGAATTGCTCTTCCCTGCACACAGGGAAGCTCCCTGGTCCCAGAGGAGTTAAGCAGCATAGGAGACCAAGGTCCTGAACCAGTGTCTTGCACCAGACCCTCTGGCAGGCTCCCATACATCTATCTTTCCTGGTCCTTCCAGGCCCTGTGTAAGCTCTCCTGCTTCCCACACATCCATACTGTGAGGGGTACTCTTCTCTTAGGTGAGTACCTGACACTGCCATTGGAATTTGTTTTGTCCATACACTGAGGAAGATCTAGAAAAATAAGTAGTATGCACTTCAGTACTGCCCATCCCAGCTTTCCAGAGGAAAGCTCATCCCTCTGCCACATAGGCAGCATTCATGGAGCTCTAGATTACTATAAAACAGTAGAGTCTAAGCCAGACATAAAATTTGTGTGCTGCATCTGCCACAAGGCAAATTCGCATTCAGCATAACTTGAGGTCATCCCTGTGAAACCCCCTCTGTTTCAGGATGGGTCGGGGCAATCAGAGCAATCCAATGGTCACAAATGAGGGGCAGTGACCTTTTGGGTTCCAGGGAGTAGAACCAGCCCCCAGACAGCAGTAAAAAGCCTCTGAGGCTTTATGATGTTTTGGCTTGTGCATTCATGGACATCATCCTGTGGGAATGGCCTCCTTACAGTGTTCCTCCTTCAGGCACTGGCACTGCTGGTGCTCCCTGAGGAGCGTTCGCTAATTCCCAAGCCTGAAAGAGCGCACAAGCTACAGGCTTGGTTCTTGCACAGTCTCTGCAATCTCCACACTCATGGTGGCCTTGGGCCATACTCTGCTAACCACAGCACATCCCTACAAACACTGCACAGGGGGGGAGAACCCAGGCCATGTTTTATTCAAGAGAAGCTGTGTATGGAATATTTGCTCAGCTTCAAAATTCAGAAATATGCAGACAGATTTCTATACCTGTGACAGAAAATCTAGGTCTTCCAGACACAACTTTGCCTTCTGCTTGCAGCCCAAATGCTTATTTTGGGGGCAGGGGAATGATATGAAAAGCCCAAGCACTTGGGAGAGCTGCCCTGTGAAACACAGAAAGGAAATATGTATCTGGGTCACTCAAACCAAAGAAGGAGGAGTCCCATTAGAGCTGTCTTCAGAAAGTCTCCACCTGGGCACAACATAGGAGCTGCGAAGTAGCTGTCACTGCCAAAAGCATTTCCAGCTCCATGCCTAGTATGTGAAGTTTATTCTAAGAGCAGGTACCAAAAGAGCTGAGAGCAGGAGAGGGATACAAATCTGCATGTCAGTAGTGGGGGAGCAACATCTTGGCTTGTCCAGACCACAGGTTTGGAGCTGAAGCCCCACTGGTGGAAAGAACATCACACCCCTCCTGCCGTCAGCTGGACCAGCTGGGAGGCAGAGATCCTGGCTCCATTCTCCCACAGAGGAGAAAGCTGGGGACAGATGCCATCCTCTTCTCTCCCCTAAACCTCACCGCCAGCATCATCAGTCCAAGGCAGCATCTGAACATGGGCTGTGGTTTCATTTCAAGGACAGAATGGGGAAGCAGGACACCTCTTGCCCCCAACCAAGACTACCTGTCCTTCAGGCAGCAGTGTCCAGAGGAATCTGCAACAAAGGATGTGGGTCACAAAGCTGGGAACAGGGCTCTGTGTCTCCAGTGATCCAGTGGGCCCACTAGCCAAACTTACAGGCTAGGCAATATTTCTCCAGTCTCTCACATCTTTCCCTGTCTTATGCCAGGCTCCTGCGTCTCACAACAACACAGAATGACAGAGCACGAGGACTTCATGAACTTGGCTGGGTACTGGAACTCCTCTGACAATTACCAGTTCAGCCCTGCCAGGGTTATTGTCCCTGTGGTCTTCTCCCTCATCTTCCTCCTGGGCACAGTGGGCAATAGCCTGGTGTTGGCTGTGCTGCTGCGCAATGGGCAGAGGGGCCACAATACTACCAACCTCTTCATCCTCAACCTCAGCCTGGCCGACTTCTTCTTCATCGTCTTCTGCGTGCCCTTCCAGGCCACCATCTACTCCCTTGAGGGATGGATCTTTGGCTCCTTCATCTGCAAGGCTGTCCATTTCTTCATCTACCTCACCATGTATGCTAGCAGCTTTACTCTGGCTGCTGTCTCTGTGGACAGGTAATAATCTACAGGTGCCTTTGGGTTGGGGAAGGAAAGCAGTCTGAGTGGGCAGAGGGCATGGGAAGAGCATAGCCCACCACCACTAGGCAGACAATTCAAGCCCCAGTGGTATCAATGCATGCCAAAGGTAGTTTGGGGACCAGTTGTGTCTCCTTTGCCCTAATGACTTGCAAGAAGCATTTCCATCTCTCTCAAGTGCAGATCTTTCTGCAGGAAAGATCTCCCCACGGTTAGAGCACTTGAGACCCAAGCTCGGCTCCCCACTGTGCCCCAGACTCTCACAGAGAGTCACTAGCTCTGCATTAGAGATGCTACTTACAGGGTAACAGCTGTCCCTGAGCCACCATTTCAGAAAAGCATCCTGTGCAGTAGCAAGGTCAACAGGGCACCACAACAGGAGCCACATAAATAGGCAGGAGAGACCCCAGTCCTGCAGTAAACACCTCTCATTTCTCAGGGACTGCCAACCCAGCAAAAAACTCATCACCAAGCAATTCCTGCCCCCGCCCTGCCCCCAGCCCTTCTGCATTCTGCCCAGAAAGACACCCGCACCACAAGCCCAGTCCCTTCTTGGAGGTCACCTAGGACATGCTGGTCCCTGACTGGTGTCACCTGCATTGTTCCTAAGGGCTCTGTAAGGCAACTGTGCCAGCTACCCTTCTGACTAGGCCCACGCTTCTGGGCCAGGTTGAAGAAGAGGTCCCCACTGGGATAAGCTCCAGCCCTGACCACTAGGGAACACATCCCAGCCCACCTTGCTCCCTGAGCTTGCTTCCAAGGTACCAAGAAGAGACAGGGCCAGACAGCCCTCTGCAATGAGAGGTCCACAGCCCTGCAGGCAGAAGGAAACTTCAGCCCATCACCCAGTGAAGTTACCCCGGGCCTTAAATCTTCAGTTCAGACCTCCTTCTGCTGGATAGATTCTGCTGAGCAGTGGATATCTGCCTCGTCTCCACAGAAACATCTCTGTGCTCAAGCTCAGGGACATAACCCACCCTACCATACCTGGAGCAGGGAGCCAGCTGTGGCCAGAAAGAGAGGCATCCTTGCTAGAAAGAGAAAAGCTGCTTTACCCAGGACTGTATGTCAAAGAGAGTGTAAGATAACATATAGGGTCACTCTCTTGTCTCAGGAATTTATGTGACCAGGCAGAGCTTGGCTGAAACCTCAGTGCTGGTTGCTTTTCTCTTCTGCCCAGATACCTGGCTATCCGTTATCCGCTGCGCTCCCGGGAGCTGCGGACCCCCCACAGTGCTGTGGCAGCCATGGCTGTGATCTGGGGCCTCTCTGTGGTCTTTGCTGGGCCCTACCTAAGCTACTACGTCCTGATTGAGTGGGAGTCCAGCTACATTTGCATGCCTGGCTGGGAGGAGTGGAGACGCAAGGTCATGGACACCAGCACGTTTGCCTTCGGCTACATCATCCCAGTGCTCATCATCAGCCTCTCCTACACCAGAACCATCAAGTACCTGTGGACAGCAGTGGACCCTCTGGAGGACATATCAGAGTCCAGGAAGGCCAAGTGGAAGGTAACCAAGATGGTCATCATTGTAACCATCCTTTTCTGCCTGTGCTGGCTGCCCTACCACGTAGTCATCCTCCGATACCTCTATGGAGACTTCCCCTTCAACCAGGCCACCTATGCCTTCCGCCTGCTCTCCCACTGCATGGCCTATGCCAACTCCTGCCTCAACCCCATCGTCTATGCCCTAGTCTCCAAGCACTTCCGCAAGGGCTTCAAGAAGGTTTTCAGCTGTCTCTTGAGAAAAAAGCACCACAATAAGGTACGTGTGGTGCATGTTGCCCACATTGTGCCTGGATTTGGGGCAGCTTCCACTGAAGTGTCCCAGACGCAGAAGGAGATTAATAGGCATGAGATGGACCCAGCTTCCGTGGCAGTCCCTTCTGGTTCCTCCAAGCCCCTTCATATTTCTTAGCGGCCAAACTCCATTTGCCAGCTCAGCTCTGTCACCAACTTCAAGCCACTCTTTCCCACTGGGTGAGAGGGGATGCTGGAAAGGCAAGCCAGAAACTGCTGAACACTGCTTCTGCCCTTGTCGTTCCTTCCCATTCGATGCACCAACAGTTCTCTTGAGCCATCTCCCCACCAGATGCTGAATGCGAGGAAGGGAATTGACCCAGGCTCACCCTGATCCTCAAACCGCCTGGATTCCAAGGATTAAAGTTCCAGCTCCTGTCTGGGCTCTCATCCAGCAGAATTCCACTGCTCCATGGCCCCACTGAACTGGGTCCTGTGCACAAGGGGAGCAGTTCAAGATGGAGTCAAGGCTCAGGGGAGAAACTCATGTTGTTTTAACTGTGTGCATTTTGCTCTTCCTCTGCTTTAAAATCATCTCCCTCCAGGAAAGCTTTCTCATTAAAATGTTCAGAGAAAAGACACAAGTGGCCAGATTTAAAACAGTGCCAAACACGGAGTCCCTTCTGCCTCCTACAGCCCCATGTGGCCAGACTGGTTCCCACAGCAGGAATGGCAAGGGAGAAGGGCAGTCCAAAGGTGGTGTGGGAAGCACCTGGCACAGCCTGTGGATGGCTGCAGGGATGGCTTTGGTGCTGGTGCACTGCTCTCAGTGACTGAGTCCTCCTCTGGGATGTGGGGCAGGCCAGGGGCTCTCTGTGAGGGAAGGGATGTTGCTGCTTTACTAGAGACATCTTTCTAACCCAGAGCAAATAAATGCACTTCCCTCATCCAGGCAATAGTGGGGCCTGCATTGGTAACCTGGGGTGCATTGATGCTGCCAGACTCAGCTCAGGAGCAAACGCAGCAGAGGAAACCTCAGGCTCAGGAGAAGGGGAAGGCAGCTGCTGCCTAAGGCTGGTCCCCTAGTCCCACTGAGCCCCTATTAACGAAACAGGAGCTTCCCCTTCCCTTCCATTTTGAGCAGTCTGGTGGGCTGTAAAGGGCCTTGGCAGGAGATGGGGCTCTCTGAGGCTCCTGATAGTTGTCCTGTGTGGCATCATCGTGTGGTGCCTGTGTCAAGACCAATGTCACTCATGCACAGCAGGCAGTCCTCCCCTGGCTGGTCACCAAGGATTGCTGTTTCTAGTTCAGGCTCTGGGGTCATGAATAGGTATGAGTTTTCTAGGAAACAATTCCAGCAGAAGCCCTCTGCATCCCATTTTTCATTACTGTTAGTGAAGTTCTGCAGCTACCATGCTTGTGCAGGTAACCATACTTCTGCAGCCAGCCATACAGTCTCCATCTGCTCCAGCTCATCAGCAAACACCTTCTCTGCCTCACCTTCACCCTTAAGGAACCAAGCTTGATTTTTCTCTGCTTGGATCAGATTGATAGCTGTGGTCTTTAGCAAAGCTGTAGTTACTGCTAGGGCTTTCTTACTCAAACTCTTCCCCTGGGAAAACAAAACAAAACAAAAAACAGAAAAAGAATTTTCTGTGACGGAGTCACCAAGCAAGAACTTACCAAACGGGGATGCATCTGCCATTGCTCATTGGTCCTGCTGGCAAAGGCACAAACAGCTGTAGATGAAAGACCAATGCTGAAAGGCATTTTAGATTTTTTGCTGTCTGTAGGAAGGTGACTGCAGATTTTCCAGGGAATTATCTGAATTTATTCTCCTGTGGGATTCACTCCATCACTGCATCCCCGAGAGGAGAACATTGTGTCCCTCAACCTCATTCACCTAAGCCTGTTATCTGGGTCAACCCTGAGGCCAGCACACTGAGTTAAACTGCTAAGGGCAATTTCAGACACGTTGCTGTCAAGCTAGAGCTGGAAGTTACCTGGGAGTTGATGGGAAGAGACAAAGTGGGATGGATGGAGTTGGGGCCTGGGGTATCATCCCTGCCTGGGAAGCATAGAGCCTCTACTCACCCTGCATAAAAACAGTAGACCTTCATCTGCACATGCTCAAACAGAGGAGAAGCTTTTCCTCTCAGAATAAAATCCACGTTTGTGTGCAAAGATCAAGAGTAAGCATTTCAAAAGAGATGGCAGCAAGATGGAGAAGGTGCATCAGGAAATAGTACCTAAGTCTTCTTAAACACAGAAATGCTCTCCAAACCGATGAAAATTCAGCTTGCAGCACAAGAAGAGTTCCTGATGTGCTCAGACCAGGAGAGACTTTTCAAATGGGATTTGAATGGAAGAGTTCCATCTAAAGTAACTGCATTTGTTCCCACCAAATTAACCCTTGGTTACGCACAGTTTTCTCAGGAAGCTCTGGAAATTACAAGCAAGAGGTGCCCCAGGTGCCTTGGTGCATGGCTTGCTTGCTTCTGTTGTCTTGCTAATGAGAACCACACAAGCAACTATGTCCAAATGCAAAGATTTTAATAGGTGTGGAAACCCACAAATGTTATGTAGGTATCACCCACAGCTCCTGTGACAGAGGCTTAGTGCTGGGCTTACCAGTGTTTTTGCACCTACTGAGTGGCTGCCATTCCTCTATTCCTGATGTACCTGCTCTCCCTGGAGAAAACCAGCTGCTTCAGCTCCTCTGTACCAGGGAAGGGACACTCGCAGGGGCAAGCAGGGATGCAGAGGGGCAGCTGGGAAGCTTTTTATCCTCAAATTTGATGCCAGCGCTCTGCAATCACCTATTTCACAGAGTACCCCCAAATTCCACCCCCATGTTTGGAGTGACTGCAGTAAGGTGAGCTCCGTAATGGCAGGTTTGATTACCAGCAGGCAGGCACTTATCTGTTGGCTCAGCAACCAGAACCGAATCAGACACTGATTCAAAAGAGGAAGGAGATGCTTCCTTTCTCAGGGCATTCCATGCAAAGACTTAAGTCCTGCTGGCCCCTGTGGCTCAAAGTCTCTCTCTACATAACAAGTCACTCACAAGCAGAATGAGGTCCCATCCTGAGCCACCAGAGCGATCAGGGGCTGCGTCTGAGTGCCAACTATGGGGCGAATCCCACATGGAGCTGCAGGTCCCAGGGGTCCGGGCGGCAGCAACTGGAGAGACCTGTCCTGGGCACAGCAGGGATGACTAGGAAACCTCAGGTCAGAGTAGCCAGCAAGTAGGACAGGCAGAACTGTGAAAGGGCAGTTCCAAGCATCAAGTGCTAAAATCAAAGTTACAAATCAGGATTTGAAGGTGCCAGCAAAGGTGCCCCCTCTTATCTGTGCTAGTCTGTCTGCAGCTGGGGATATCTGTGCATAGTTGTGCTCATTCCTGTGCAGATTCATCTTGGTTTTCCAACTATAAAGTTAGTTTCTACTTCTTTTCTGGTCATTCAGTGGGGTTTTTTTTAAGGAATGAAAAATACACAGAGCCTAGTGGAAGTTTGAGGAACTTTCGTCAGCAGAGAGGTTTTTCTCTTAGAATAAAATCCACTCCTCAAAGTGCCTCTGCGCTAGAACTTCTGGGGTCAGAAGACCAGCAACCTGAAATTGCAGAGAAACATCCTCAGCTCTGCCAAACCTGCCCAGCACAGCCTCCACCACCTCCAGCCAGGACTCCCAGCCCAGGGCAGCCACCATAACTGCCCATGCATTCATCGGTTCTCTCTCTCTGCCTACATGTCTCTCTCTTTGGTTTGAAGGATCAAACCAATCAGTCAAGTCCCAGAACTTGACTCTGCTGCCCGGATGACACTTCCTGGTCTGGTCCAAGTGTCTCAGATCACCACCTTTCAGGGGGTGTTTGGACCACATCTTTGGTTCTCCCGTGTCATTCCCACATTAGCAGAGGGAGAATTATCCTTCTGTCACACAAGTACTCTACGAGAACATTCCTCTCCCAAAGAACTAAGGTTTTTCACAATCACAGTTCAGTTCCCAACAGAAAAGGATGTTCAGAAAGGTGACCATAGTAATGCGGAATCTGTACAACACTCAGTGGTGAGTGCTAATGGTGTCCTAGCACCCACCTTGCACACTTGGGTTAATTCACACTTGAACTGCAGCAGCTCAATCATGAGCATGCTCAGAAAAAGGAAACGTAAAAAAAACGTTAATAGCCATTAGAGACAAAAAGGGACAGAAATTCGTTACGAAGGGAATAAACCAGGAGAATAACCAGCTCTAAGATTTAAAATGCTGTACCTAATGGTGAAGAACAGGCCATGAGTCACTTTATGTATGGCTGTTTGCTGACTGGTTTTCACCTGTTTTTGTTTTTCTTTCTAAAGATGACAGAGAGCAAGATGAGGCAGAACATCAAGGGAACAGAGCTCCAAGAAGCACCTCTGTTCTGGGAATCCTGATAGAAATCAAACTAGATGCCTGGCCAAAACCACAGGGAAGTGCCAGCAAAGGCCTGGCACAAAGGGCAGCCCCTGTGCATGGTATCTCAAGGGGAAACACAACCAGGATGATTATAACAGGGCTTGACCGGCAGGTGGCTTAGTGTACCTGAGCTGCAGTCGGAACCACAGGGAGCAAAACCCTGTTGGCCCCACTTGCCTGGGCCACTGACAGTTGTTCTTAAAACCTTCCTACAAAGAGCCCCTCCAGCTCTTCCATCACTTTTTTTTTTTTTTTAGTGCCTAATCTGTTTGTCAGCAAACCAAAGCCCCTGGACTTCATCTCACTGACAGAAGGGGGAGAAAAGCTATTGCTGCATCACTGCAGCAATGACTGCCCTACGTGAGGACTTCAGCCTCAAAAGAATGAGGAGGACAGAAGAAGAAAAACTCCAGTTCAATCAATCTTCCCTCACAGATTATTTTTTAGGCTTTTGCTTGTACTGCCTCTCTCCATCCTGCCATGAGATTTTAATGATACTCATCAAACAGGCATTACACTTTTTCTTTACAATGCCACAGCATCTGTCCAGTCACATATGGGTCCTGTCCTTGGCTTATGCAGTCAGTCAAAATAATAATTTTCTACATCCAGTACAAAAGGACATTCTGTCTTAAATCTTCTTGTCCAAGGACCTCACCCACTGCCAACCAGGCACCAGACACCAGTTACAGAGCATCTTCTACCAGTGACCCTTGAGATGCAGGAGTCTCTCCCATTCCATGCTGGAAGAACCTTTACTCACCTTCTCCCTCCATAGCAGGCAGCCTTCTCTACACTAGGAAGAGCTAGGAGTTATATTCTGGCAAGGTCTTTTAAGGTGAGGAAGGAAGAGGTGGGGAAGGGAGAGAGAGGGAGAGAAAGGAAATAAATGCAACTGTGGTGGAAAGTCACCGCATTTCATCTGAATACATTCAATTAAAACTAAGAAAAAAAACCATGAACAGCAGAATATATCCAAGAGAAATCTTCAGGTAACACATTAGGGTTC